AGAAGATAAATCAACTGAAAAAAAATAGGAAGAATTGTTCTTCTGTATTAACTTACCAATTAGCTAATTCTTTCAGGGTACTGTCCTAGTAGCTCTGAAAACACTTAATTTCTTACAGCAGTGAAGTAATTTTGTAAGATGGATTCTGTCTTTTTATTGCTGTTTTCCCAGACAACAGTTTTCTAACAGTGTGTGAATCAGATGCAAGATCTGTCTTGAAGGAGTGGAACAGAAACAGTAAAAGAGATAGGAGAGTCCTGTTTAGGACCGGACTGACTGCCTGGGCCATAGATTCCCAACTAATAGCAGACATCTGTGTAACAGACCTTAATTTGTAGTCATATGCATGACTTGAATCATATCATCAGGAAGGATTTTCTATAATAGATGATTTGGACTTGGAGTGTTAGCTTAATTGTAACTGCACTAAGAATAACTTGCATTTTTTTGATAGACCATTAAAACATTAATTAGACTAGCAATAAAATCTTGGTTTCCTATGTAAGATGAACTCCCTTTTTCCCATAACAGCCTTTTGATGATAACATCAGGGATGGTTCCTTACTAACTATTCCTTATTGCTGAGCTTTTCCTGAAACAAGGTCTAATCTCTTTCTTTAAAAAAAGACTTTTTTTTTTTTTTGGCCAAATGCTTTGATACTTAGTGGTACCTACCCTGAATTTGATTTCCCTTCCTGTCACAGCTCACAGGAGGCTTCTTCTAGTGACTATTTAATTACTCCCTCAATACAGAAGCTGAGTTCTTGACAAGTGGAGAAAAAGATGGGGGCAATAATGGCATTCATGAACATTTAAAAGAAATAAAATTATTTTGAAGATTATAAAGCAAGGTTTATATTTAAAGAATAGAACCCAGCAGGGTTTTATTCATGTTATGAAATAAAATTATTTTGAAGATTATAAAGCAGGGTTTTATTCATGTTAGAAATTGTTATGCTTGTATGATTCTTGAGGGTGACTAGTACTGAAACTATTTAATTTGTCTGCAAGATGGTCTTTAATTGATATCAAAGTACTCTTATAAACATGAGTCACAATAGGTCACATTAGGACAGGGACATTTCAGAGTGAAGAACATTATGGCATACATATGGATGGATGGAATAGGGATAACCAAGCTGATTGCGTGGTCAGAACTGGGGAATGAAAGCACATTGTCTGGGATTGGAAAGGAGAAAGGATTAATTTGGGAAAGAGATGTATTTCTAGTTGTCCTGGAAAATTGCATTAACATCAGAATTGGTTGGGAGAGATGATCTGCGTGAACATAAATATTAATGAAGCAGGTAATATTTCTGCTTTCAAGCTAGGCAAAATTTATGGTGAGAGAGATGTTGAACATTATTAAAAATATCAGGAAAGACTAGAATATAGTGAACAAATTATTGGCATATTAGCTTTTCAGCCAGTCTGAAACAGAAGTCTGCGTGTCTAAGGCCTTTGTAGTTGGTTTGATGTGCCTGGTAAAGGTTATTTATGATTTTGACGTCATTCTTGCCCTCATGTGTTTTTCTGTTATCGCTAAGTACTACTTAGTAATTTGTAATTTGAGTGGCTGTTCTGCGCTGTCCTATCCAAACCTACCCTGTGTTCCTAGGATCACACTCTGCTGTATTGTTAAAGCAGAGTTTTTACCTTATTAGGAGTTATTGGTTAGTAGGGGAAAGATTAGTAATTTGTAATTTGAGTGGCTGTTCTGTGCTGTCCTATCCAAACCTACCCTGCGTTCCTAGGATCAGACTCTGCTGTATTGTTAAAACAGTTTTTACCTTATTAGGAATTATTGGTTAGTAGGGGAAAGAAGGACATTGCCAGTTTCTTGAAACAAATTATGATCATGACAGGAAGGATATAGACCTTTTGGAACAAATTAAGGACATTGCCAGTTTCTTGAAACAAATTAATTATGATAATGACAGGAAGGATATGGACCTTTTGGAACAAATTCAGCAGAGGGCCACGAAGATGATCAGAGGGCTGGAGCCCCTCTGCTGTGAGGACAGGCTGAGAGAGTTGTGGGGGGGTCAGTCTGGAGAAGAGAAGGCTCCAGGGAGACCTTAGAGCCCCTTCCAGTCCCTAAAGGGGCTCCAGGAGAGATGGGGAGGGACTCTGGATCAGGGAGTAGAGCGACAGGATGAGGGGGAATGGTTTTAAACTGAAAGAGGGAAGATTTAGTTGAGATCTCGGGAAGAAATTCTTGACTGTGAGGGTGGTGCGACACTGGATCAGATAGTTTAAACTGAAAGAGGGAAGATTTAGTTGAGATCTCGGGAAGAAATTCTTGACTGTGAGGGTGGTGCGACACTGGATCAGATAGCTCAGAGAAGCTGTGGCTGCCCCATCCCTGGAGTTCCTTTGAAATGGAACATATATTGCTTGTGTAATAGTGTAAAATAGCTAATTTTTAGATTTATGAAATCTAATATGCCAGAATCCTCATCTGGCACAAACCAGTGAAGTTGTGCTGGTTTATGAGAGATGAAACTAAGACATTTGTGTCTCAAATACTGTTGGTTGCAGCTTTTGGAATAATCGGTATATACATTTGTGAATAACATGCTTCTCAAAATATACATACTTTGGTCAATGTTTGGTAATAGGGATGGTGTGAGTGAGGGGCATTTGATTGAATTGGGAAAATACTTTCTGTTGCCATTATTAATATATGTACTTCTTTGCTGAATTTACTTTTCTTTCTATTGAAAATTCTAAAGACTATTGACTTATACTGTGAATCTTTTCCACCCTGTTCTTTATTGCAATCTCTCAGACACATATTTGAGGTAGGAATAATATTTTTAATGAGTAAATTCATATAAACCACATAATGGAATTCTGACTTAACATAGGCAAAAATTGGACATACAGTGCATGGGCTATAAGTCAAGCCACTACTTGAATATTTTTTCTTCCAAGAAATTCGGCTTTAGCATTTGTGATTTCCCAAGCCTCAGTGACATGATGACAAACATTTTTAGTTCTTAATTATTTGTAAACTCTACTAATGATACTTAGAAAGTGCAGTTATTAGAAAAGAATTAAAGAATAACAGTCCATCTGTATTACTATAGTTTCTGAATGAGATCTTCAAATAGAAGAGTTTCTAAGATTCATTTTTAAATTTGGTGACCACATATGTACTTGTATATTATATTTTAAGGAGATCTTTTTTATTATTTTTTTTTCATTGCAGATTAAGGGAAATAACAGTTCCATTCAATATGTCATAATTAATCAGATTTAACACGATACCATTTCAAAAGTGGTCCAAAAGAAGAAAAAGGTGTCATATTAACTGATTATAGAAGGATGTACTATACAGTGCAATACAGATTGATTACAATAGTATGTTTATTAAGGATGATTTAAAGACTTACCTTCTAAAACAAATCAGAAAAACAAAAATAGTAAAACCATTGCTATATATTATGCCTATTATGATAACATATATTTGCTCTGTAGCTATGCACTTCCACTAGCCCAGTGGAAGAGGAAAATGTGCAAAGCATTTTTAAGTGAGCTATTCAAAATGAAATTACACTGTTGCATACAGGTACAGTTTAACTACAATAAATACCCTGTTTGTTGATATTGATATATTCATTAATATTCTCTTTGCTGGAAAATATGAAATAATGCCAAACTTCCTTGTTAACGTGAAGTTTGCAATGAAGATGACCATCATTAAAATCTGTAAGGGTTCAAGACGTATTGATATAAGATCATATTCAGATTGTCAACATAATCAAGACTATGATATGAGAAAGAAAATCTTGTAGGATAAAGTCAGGGCCAATTAGATTCTAAGTCGTCTTCAGTCTTGCATACAGGGGGTTCACTGCTCGTTCACAGAGGTTCTTTGGCTTCATTGGGGTTCAGACCAGAAATGAATAGGAAGTAGGAAAGGGATAGGTCCCTGCAGGCATGGTAGACTGCCAAGACTCATGGTTTGGAATTACGTCCATCCAGGGCTGATGATTGCTATGGCGGAAGTAGGAAAGGGATAGGTCCCTGCAGGCGTGGTAGACTGCAAAGACTCATGGTTTGGTATTACGTCCATCTAGGGCTGATGATTGCTATGGGACCTTCCACTGAGGTGAGTGCCTGTCCCAGGCTTTCTTACCCAGGGGGATCAGAAAATTTTGATGCTTTCTGAGTTCAGAAATGGGTGTTTTGCCTCACTGGGGCATCAACAAGTACACTATTTAAAAATTCCAGGTAGAACTCTCAATAATGCATTTGTTTTTGATGCTTTCTGAGTTCAGAAATGGGTGCTTTGCCTCATTGGGGCATCAACAAGTATTTAAACTATTTAAACTAAACTATTTAAAAATTCCAGGTAGAATTCTCAATAATGCATTTTGTGCTATGCTAGCCTTTCATACAGGGGAAAATTTAAAGACTTGGAATGTAAAAAACATGTTATGGCTCAGCCATTTGCACAGAAGCAACTTATTTTGGATAAGTTTCTAATTCCATCTCCTTAGAATGGACAGAAATCATGATTATTTTCATCAGCCATTTTCATGTTGACCATAAAGTGTCTGATCTTATGAGGTACTGACTTAGATTGTCACACTCATTGGCAATGAGTGGCTGAGGAGGCGGCTCATTGTCTTATGGAGGTACTGACTTAGATTGTCACACTCATTGTCAATGAGTGGCTGCTCATTGTCTTACATGAATCATTTTGACTCCTTTGAAGCAATAGGAAATAATTAAAAGAAATCATTACTGTAGAGTTAAACATCTTTACTCTTTCACTTTTGCAATGAGTTGTTTAGCAAACCTTACCTAAAATGTACTTCAAAATGGCAGTAAATGCAAAATTAATTTGAAGAGGGCAGCAGATTGTACTTCAAAATGGCAGTAAATGCAAAATTTGAAGAGGGCAGCAGATATTTCTCAAATTTTTCATCTGTATTAAACTAAATTCTAAAGACTCTTCTTCTAAATTCTAAAGTCTTCCCTCCCTCCAAAGAAAAACAAGAGATTAATTTCTTAAAATTATTGCTATATTTAGCAGCTCATAACATCACAAACATGCACATTTCTGTGATTTAGATTTAATACAAATATTTCAAAATATCAGATCTGAAAAATGCTCTCCAGTTTTATTACAGGCCTATTCAATAAAATATATACCTTTGGTACAATATGTTTTATTGCATATAGCAAACCATTTTCATTATCATCAAAAATATATCTTAGCACTTGTGAATTACAGGGGACTTTAATTCCTCAGATAACCCACAATATTGGATACAGTATCTTGAACCGGCTCATAAATATGTAGACATGATAAACATGTACATTTTCTGTTGGAAATGACAAGTGACAGATCTTTGAGAATTCTAAATTTCCTAATGATTAAGCTATCTTTATGCTACTTTATTAGATGCATCATAAGACATTATTTTCATTGAAAATATGCTTTAAATAAGGCAAGTTTTGTAAGAATTTAAATAGTATTTTTTCTTACATGAAAAGCTGCTTTTTTTAATAAGGTGGTCATGCCTCCCTTGCTATTCTGAAATCACTATACACAAAGCAATAAAGTTACAGAGCTAAGCATCCTCCAAGGATGAAATCACAGTGAAGAAAGCTGTGATATACTTTATGCTGTTGATCATGTTGTATCATACCGCATCATATGATGATACCACAATAGAAGAGAGCTGGTTATTTACACAGTGGTTCTGACTGGCAAATGTAAACAAAGATGAGTCAAGCCCCCCGGCAGTGCTTGGACTTGCTAGTTCATCTCCAGGGTTTTACAATGTTTTTCATCAGTTCCATTGTCAACTTGACATGAGGCACCTGCTTTTAAGGTAAGAAATTGGTCAGTTGACGGAGCGTCAGTTGGGTTTTCAAGTAAATGTGAATCTCTTCCCTTTTAGTTCATTATTAAGTCAAGGGCACGCAAATCTATGATCCAAGAAAGATCAAATGCTGTTAGACTTGTATGCAGTTTAAGGAATTATATGACATAGAGTGACTGCTTCTAAGACATATAAGTTAAAGAAAATCTCCAGTACAGCAAGTAATAATTGAAACAAACTGTTTAGGTAAAGTCCACGTTTTAATATAGATTAACAGAAGTCTGATGGCTATTCAGAAACTCTTAGTCCAGTTAAAATGATTGGAATTGGCTTGGAAAAGCTCAAGTGTACTTGACCATCAGTGTGGGTATGAATACTTGAGTATTAAAAGGTCTGACAGCTGGAGCATCTTTCCAGAAGTAAATGCTCCTTCTTTTTAAGGTCAATTTGAAGGTGAATCCTATTGTTGTGAATTGCTTTTCTCCACCAGAGGACTTCATTATAAACAGAAATCCATTGTTGCAGGAGACAACCTGTCTAGCTATTCTTCACCTCACAGTAGGCTTCCCCTGACTGAAGAGGTGCCTGCTGTCTGCGGAAAGTCCATATAGCAGGTCCTGTCCTGAGAGTCACATCGTCCTCCTTGTACCAGGGTCATAAGTAGCATTTCTCCTTTCTATTATTTAAAGGTATCAAATTGTTCTAGGTTATCAGACTATGTTCGTCGTTGTGGTAAACACCTAAATATTATTTTGAAAAGCTTATCTGTTGCAAAATAACCTACAGTCTCAGGCTATTCTCAGGAGATCAAGTTGAAAAGGATGTTAAATGCTCATCCTGTAAATATTTCTTGTTTCACAGGGTTTCATGAGGTTAAGATTCCACTAATCAGACAAAACTGACATCCCCACCCACTGTTCTTCTTAAATGCATTAATCTGCTTCTCATGGAGGTTTAGAACTTCTGTGCTGTACACAAGCGAAAATGATCCTTCCTCACTTATGTTTTTAGGAGGTGTTTCCCTAGAAACTCTGGAGCACTTCCCAATTTTGTGAATTACTGTCTCTTCAGAAAGAATGGTGGTTTATATTTCTCTTTCCACCCCTCCACCTTTGTTCGTGCCCACACAGCTTGAGCTGATGAATCATGGCTCTTTTATTTCCTCGCTGTTTATCCTCCTGCCCTTGTAGCTTTGAAGATAATCAGTCAGATATATTTCTCCTCCTAAAAGCTATTTTTAAATTGATAAATCAATTGGGAATGCCATTCCTAGGAGGGCTGGTGAGGCTTAATCTCCAAAAAAAGAAAATAGTGTCCATGTTAGGAGCAAAGCAATATAGGCAGAGGTACTTATCAAAAATCCTAATGAATTTTCAATTACCTTGATTTCTCAACTTCACATTTCCTAATATATTTCGTACTGGTCTGATTTGTCTTTTAAAAGAAGTTCTTAGAGGCTGTAGGATCAGGACCATAACCTGACCAGAAGAAGCAGGCAGAAAGTAGTAGGAATAGTTTTGAGATTTCTTTTATTGAGCCAAGCAATGTGGATACTTGTGTTTCAATCTCTTTCTAGTTGTTTATCTCCATTTAAGGAAAAAAAAAAAAAGAAAAAGTATCCATGCATAATTTTGTAATTCCCTCAATGATATCATTGTGTTGTTATTCGAGAGATATACTGTTGTATAATAGGATCTGTATGTCAAGGCTCTTTGAGTTCCCAAATACCATGCAAGAATTTGATCAAAGTGCTTGCAGTGTAGAAGAGATATTTCACTAATACTTAATATTAAGTCTAACAAAACAGATACTTTATTTAGATGCTGTTGGGTGACAATAAGAAGATTCCCATTTTCAGACAGAGTCCACCTTCACTTGGTTGTTGTTTGTAATCAACGGAGAAGGTTTACTTTTCATCCTGTCTCCCGCATCGTTAGAACTATCCTGGAAAAAAACTTTTGCTGTACAAAAAGCGACAATAATTCTCTTGTATTCCCTTCTGAAGTTCTGGTTCAGGAGTCCATATATGATGGCATTAAGGCAGCTGTTGAAATATGCCATGTAATAACTCGATACGAACAACCACTCTGGGATCCTAGGGATTATAGTTTCTGGGTTGACAGCCACAGCAAGGCCTATGAAGTTCAAAGGAGCCCAGCAGACTGCAAACAGTACAAATACCACAAACATGGTCACAAAGTTTCTGAAATCGTGTGGTTTCAGTCTGGGGTTGTTATCGGGTTTAACCCTTCGCCTCACTTGAATAACAAGGATCCATATCCGCAAGTAACAGAAAGTAACTATGGCTATGGGCAGCAGGAAATGGAAAAACACAACTGCGATTGTATACGCCGAGCTCACGGATTGTGCAAATGTACAGGAGTAAATCCTGGGGTCGTATTGTAGCGATCCCACAAAGAGGTTGGGCACGATAGCAACAAACGTTAGGACCCAGATAAGAGCAACGTAGCACAACGAGTTCTTGTCACTGTACAGCTTGTCGTATTTGAGGCTGTGGCAGATGTAGCAGTACCGGTTGATAGCGATGCCTGTGATATTGAAGATGGATCCAATGACACTTAGGCCCATCAAGAAGCCACTAATCTGGCAGTGAAGGTATCCCAGATTCCATCCGTTGTGAAATACAGATGTGAGGACCAGGGGATAAGGGTAGATTGCTACGACCAAGTCTGCAACGGCCAGGCTTACAACAAACACATTTCCTGTAAAATACATATAAAAAGGCAGGTATTAGTTTCAATTTCACTCTTTTCTGTCACTTCTGCTCTCAATATATTAATGACCAGCCCTAGTGGAACACTTTAAATGTAATTAGTTTCAACTTTCCAGATGGAAATTCATTGTCACATATCAGAAATAAGACATTAATTTTTAATCTAAAAAGGAAATAGCTTAACTTGAAGTTGCACCTTTTGAAAGAAAACTGAGTTTAATTACCATGACCTAATATTTTTATCATCTCTTTTATTTGGATTCTTCCAATCACATAGACTCAGAACTTATGTCAAATTAAAATATTAATAACTTTAAGCCTTGCTTTAGTTTTAAATAGTCTCTCTTGAAAAATCAGCAGAAATAATATGCTTACTAATAATTTCAAAACAGTTACCTTTCATATTTAACTTAATTCCCTTTCCTTACATGACCCCTTAACTTTTCCAGTCCTGAAATGAAAACCTTTTTTCCCCATTTGTAGTTCAAGGTCACTAATGTGACTTTTAAAGTGACTCTTTTTCAGTCTACTGGCTGGCACTTAACTAAACCATGGAAATTCATAATTTGAGAAGTAGCATCTTTGTAATTTTAAGTAAAAATTTCTAAGACTCTACCTGAATACAAACTTAGTTGTCTTTCCTAAATTCAGAGACAGACTTTTCAGTAAAAGGAGCAGTGCTAGCAGTGACCAAGACAGTTCCCAGAAACTAGTGATGCCACATTTTCTCTGCCACCCAAGTGGAAAATTAAGCAATGATCCATTCTTTTGATTCTTTTTTTTTAATTTCAGCAAAGGGAGATTATTTTAGATGGTGTTCATTCTTGATAGAACACCCCTCTTCAAAGACAATGGAACTCATCATAACTACATGTTTTGAATTAAACTTTTGAACATAGATTATATATTCTTTTTTTAGTTGCTTAAATGATAACGCATCTGAATGCCTCCCAGCCATTCTTGTTTCTAAGGAAAAGGTCACAAGACACATTGATATAGCTTTTATTCATTTTTAAAAAACAACTACTATATATATTGATCTAGTTATTCATGTCCACATCTATAGAAAGCTATAAATACGTATCTTTACATATATGTGCATAGGTATATAAATGCATGTGTATGCATGTATACATAGGTATGTGTGTGTTTGAGATGATTGCATTTTGGAATTAGATTATCCACTGAAAATGAAATACGGGCTCCTGTTGCAACCTGTAAGAAAATATATTGCTAGTTTTAGGTGACTTAGAATTTCATTATTAATTCAAAGAGGGCTTGATGAACTGGTTTGTGCATTTATTTTGAGCATTTTATTTGAAAATAAAAATAGATAAAAATTGGTTAAAAGAAAATGTAGAAGTATCTATGGATCAATAGGGCATTTTACCTGCTATATTTCTCAAGAGTATCTTTTTTTAATACATTATCTCAAACATTTTAAAATGCATATTCTCTCACTAATCTTATGCTTTAAATGGCAGTTAGAAGTATTAAATCTGCAAACACCTACAGAGAAACACAGAAATTATCTGGCTCAGGATGCTACTTACTCTCTTTTGTTTAAATGTTGATACATGCACAAAGTATCACATTTGATATTCACACTACTGGCAGCTGGGACAAATGCCTCCCTTAAAAGATTGCTACACTAGTTTTCACAGATTTTGTATCTGGTTTTATAAATAACTTTCTCTTGATGGTGGCTGTAGTTCTTTTGCCCAGGAATTCACTGCCAGACTGAAATATGCTTATCCTGAAGGCTTTGGCAGAATTCCAGAGCGTTTCAGCACAAATAGAAGAGCTCCTTTAAGCAGAAGACAAGAAGGGAAAAAACCATTGCTTTCAGGATTTATCCTTGACATAGTTGCAAGCGATACAAGAGTGGATAAAGAGACTTTATGAAGCTCAGAGGTCTGTGTTTATCTTCTGAACTGAGCAGCAGGAAGTGAATGAAAAGTTGCTGTTGGCAGGTTTTTTTCCCGACCAGAATATTGCAGGTTTGATGAAATGGCACCGTATAAACTCCAAATGGGACAAAGAACCGGGACACTTATTGAAATGCAATAATTAAAAGAATCCTATTTACATTTGCTAATAAATTTTTCTGCTTAGCTGGAGACTGCCCATCCCAAACATCTCTTTCTGCCATCCACATGCTCTTCATCAATATTGCTAATATTATCATTGTTTACACACTTGAGCCAAAAGGCTCAGGTATAAGAACAAAGCTAGAAGTGTGGAGAGGTTTTCCCTTTGTTGAAAGAAGACAGATGATACATTTTTCTCTGAATAGTTTTAGCAGCCCTGTGCTTTGTAAACAACTGAGTCTTGGAAGAGTAGGCACTCTCTCTCTGAATCAGCCGAAATGTAGGCTTCCACAAACTGGTGAAACCGTGGTTGTCCCAGTTTATCTTCTCAGTCCACTGCCTGAGAGTGACAAATTGTGAAAGTCTTGGAAATACAAGCTATCCTGGGAGAATATCCTGCATATCCATGGCAGGATATCCTGGAAGCATGTCTTTTTAAAAAAAAAATCATGAGCTTGGAAACCAAGTCTCAGGCTGCCAGCTGAGGGTTAGCATGTCAGCTGGATGACCAAAGCATTGGGCTAGAAACTGCCTGGAAAATAGATACCTGCTTGCAGAGAGGACTTTTAACCTGCCTTTCAGGAACAGTTATCTTCAAACTTGAGTTCAGATAGATTTTCATTTCCTATGAACTCATATTGAGTTCAGCATAGAAACTTTAAGATAAAATAGAAAATTCAACTAAAAATGTATTTGGGTTTAGTATGCTTGTTATATTTTTGGGGGTTCATTGTTTCAGACTCTGAAGTCAGATCTGAAATGATGTTGTGCATTTGCATGTTATATAATATACACTTTAAAAATATAATCCTAGGTTTAGGCACCCACCATTAGTGGAAAGTACTGATGTTCTATTAAATTCCCATATATTTAATGGCATATTGTGAAATCAAACTCTTATGTTTATGGAACACTTGGTGTTGTACAGGTGAGCACCATAAAAAAAAGATATAGGAAAAAAAAATTTCATCTTCAGAGTTGAGTTTGAACAGAATGCTATAAATAAAGTCTGAAGTTCCATATTGAACCCTTTAAAAAGCCACAAAACCAAATCTTGAATACCTCTTCCTTGAACAAAAAGTACTCATTCTCTTTAGAGAATGATACCACGTTACTGTGAAAAATGTGATTTATGTAACTAAAGAATGCTTTACTGTGCATTAACACCAGTTGGCTGAACTGAGAAGGTAGAGGTTGAATTTCTTGACTTTGACATTAGTCAAATAAACCTTAATAAACTTAAGGAGATGTTGTGCTTCGAATGTATGTGGGAAGAAAGACAATCTACTGGTAACCAGCTTTAGCAGGCTATGCTTTTAGACACAATCTAAAGCAACGTTCCATGAAATATTTTCACCACTCTTACTGCAAAAGATGCTTTTTTGTTCAGCAAACACATAGCAACATCAGACCTACCTGCTGAACAAAAAACTGCTTTAAAGCAACAGAAAAAAAATACATGCTCTCCCAGACAATTTAACTTTTCCAAGAGCAAAAATACAACATAAGCTGATTGTAAAAACTTTTACAGATTATATAAAAAAATGCTTATGAGATTAATTGTCATGATCATAGAATCATAGAATGGTTAGAGTTGGAAGGAACATTAGCGATGGAGTTCCAACCCCCCTGCCCTGGGCAGGGACACCTCCACTAGAGCAGGTTGCTCCAAGCCCCATCCAGCCTGGTCTTGAACCCCTCCAGGGATGAGGCAGCCACAGCTTCTCTGGGCAACCTGTAAAGAATTTCTTTCTGGTATCTAATCTAAATCTCCCCTCTTCCAATTTAAAATCGTTACCCCTTGTCCTGTCACTACACTCCCTGACAAAGAGTCCCTCTCCAGCTCTCCTGTAGATATCGACAAAGAGTCCCTCTCCGGCTCTCCTGTAGATATTGGTAGGCTGCAGTGAGGTCTGTCCCTTTCTTGTGGCTGTTTCCATGCTCAAAGTGGTGTCTCAGGGACATGTTAACACTAGATTTTCTTCATATCCCAGGAACGTTTTGCCCTGAATGTTGTTCCATTAGCACCTGTATTTCACTTTTAAAACATCACAAACAGCTATAAATTCAAGGGGTGAAAGATGTTTCTGTGAGTGCCTAATGCAAATTTAATAAAATATTCCTGTTCATGTACCTGGAGACAGATCTTAGCTCTGCAGGCTCAGTAACTCTTCTCCCTGGGACCTTAACCAGTAATAACATTTCAGAAAAGGAAGATCTTTTCATAATCTTTCTGGCATCAATTTAATATTGGAAAGTTTCTGTACCTGGCAGCGCAGTCTGGGATACCACAAGGTCACGTGCAGTAAAAATTGTTAAATAAAAATACTTGTAAGTGTACAGCCACTGTTTCTTAGGCAAAATCCCAAAGCTCAGTAAGGTTACCTACACAAGCAAGTGTGCAGACAGCCCCAGCTTCACTGCAGAAAGATTTGAAAGGTTTAAGAAACTAACAGTCCTTGTAGCTCAGCATCAAAATGGGACAACACAGCTGAAGAGAAATGTAGGAATAAATATTACATAAGCTCCAGTTTCTCCTGGGAGCTTCATTCACTTTACAGATCATAATATCAACTCCCTTAGATCTGAAAAGCCTATTTTTAAACTAAAGACGCTATTTATAAACCTGGCCTGAATCAAGAAGTCCACGTGCACATTAGATTTGAATAGCGTGATGGGCCTGTGGGTTTTGTTTCTCATTAGCAAATTAACCCTGCTGCTGCAGGTGGTGATGCAAGGAAATTTGAATGACTTAAAGCTCACAATGAACCTTTTAGCTTTAAGCACATGGAGGACAACCTTTTTCTTTTTAAGCTGAAAAAATACCTTCTATTATTTAACGATTTTCTTAAAACCTTATCCAAATGTATGCGTCTGTCATATAATAAAAGAGATTTTCATATCCTCTATCA